AAGCACTGCCAGTAGGATGACAGTTGATTCATCATCTCTATTTAAATTATGTGTCTGTTTATAAATTCCTATTGTCTCTCTATTAATTCTGCGGAAATTACCGGTTTCATCATGCCAGGAGGCTAATGTTCTCCAGGTTTATTTTATGGTATGGCCCCCTGTGATTAGTGTGTTTTCAAACCTAATATTCCTTCTGCATCTGATAGAATGTCCAGTTGGTCCAACACAATGATGGACATCTTAACCACAGAGCATATAGAAAGGAGACCATTACTTCAATGCTGCATCACACCACCACCCTCAACCAAAAACATCCGTTATTAGGTCACTAAGGAATGTTGCTGACAAAATAAGTGAAGTAACTAGCAGACCAAAAGAAATTCAACACTTGTTTGGTGATCTTCTAAGTAATTAATACACTATACAGTATATAACTGAAGCAAGGATTATGAAGAGTATGCAAACCTTTCATAAACCTCACGTGTGACCGTCAGCATTAGAAAAAGACTAGACAAAAAATAGTATAGGATTAAGATTCAGGACAGTGAGCAAAATAAAAGAAAAGCTGCCCTTTAATAAGGATAAATTCCACAAACTAGAACCAATGGAGTATGCAAAATAAATTGCAAGCGTGAGGACAGTTACACGAGATTATAGATTAGTTCATCTATGCTTTTCTCTAGAAGCCTTACTGGTCAAAAAACAGATTTTTTTTTTCTGTATTAATGTAAGTTTAAACAAAAGAAAGAATCATGTTAATATGAGGAAGGTCAAGTTTCATTTTATTTTTATGCTTGTTTCCATAATATTTATGAACAAAATAATCCTCAAGGTATCCAGTAATATAAACAAGATGCTACAAATATTACTTAAAAGCAATATGGAACACTAAAATGCAATGAAGTTGGCCCTTTATAGCCTAAGAATATTTATTCATATTGCTGATGCTGCTTATATGAGAGTGGAATTTATAAAAATCCCACAATTCCTATCCCAATGAAAGTGTCTTTCAGCTTCTTGCTTATAACAAGGAAAAAAAGAGAGGGGAGGGAGCCTGCCTTCTCAGCCATATAATATATAGTGAATTACATGGCAATACAGATATGCAAATACCTTTCAATATACATAACACAATATCCTGCCAAGTCATTCAGCTGACATTAGTAATGGAATTGGTGTTTTGTCATACTGCACATCGCTGTTAGCCATGGTTTTTAAACCACTTTTTATGCAATAAACCACAGCAGCTGGATTGGTAATAACACTAAGCTATAAACCATGGTTTACTTTGCACAAGCACCTTATCTATCACATGACAGTAATATGCAGAATTCAAGAAGCTGACTTATTATAAATTACTCACTGTACTTACTTATAGTAGATATCAAATCCTGAAACCTTTCCTTAGGAAAGAGTGGGTTTTCTAGTCCCCGAAAATACAACTTTAAGACCCCAGCCACAGAATTGATGTCACGCTCATTTTGATCATCAGCAAGGGGATCTTCACCTGAGATAAAAGATTTATTTCTAACATCAGATTCCAGTTCTAGGTTATGCAGAAAATACAATGCACCATAGTAACAAAAAGGTGCTACAAAGATTTGGAAATCAGCTTCCCTTATGGCAACCAAGAATAACTGTTGTTGTTGTTGTTGTCATCATAATCAGCGTTATCATCATAATCTTGCCAAACTATAATGCTATAATGTAGGATAATAATATGTACATACAAACCCATCACTCTATAGCCTTTCAGGAAAAACAACATTATAGAAAGCGTAGAAAAGGAGTAAGTAGAAGTAAGAAATGGAAATCTAACAAAATTCACACAAGCCCCATTTATTATACTTCTCTTCTCCAACCTTGCAAATCATCTTTGTTTCTTCTCCATCCAGATACCAATTCATACATTGTCTTTTGGTCTTTAAACATCTCACCTTTCCTTTTGAGAACTCATCAACTAAACCCAGCCATGATTTTCTCAGTCTTCCTCACTTTTCTTCATATATTTGCTATGCAATTCAACCTTCATTCATTCTTGTCATTTGACTAAATCACTTCAATGTACTTCTTTCATCCTGGTCACTCACTTTTGTATTGAATCCACATTCATTCAGTACCCATTCATTCTTGAGCTTATGTTTTCTCATTTTATTACGCACATAATAAGTACTCCATTCTAACTGCATTCAACATATCCATCTCTCACTTCTATTTAACAAAGTGATAAGAAGCATGCCCTTACAACCGTTTTCACTTGTAATAAACTTCATTGCCCCCAACAGACCCCTACCTTTCTACCAGCATTTGCATGTCTTAACATTTCTCCAAACATGTTTCCATCTTTAGTAAACTTTCTACTAAGGCACACATTTACTTTTCTTATGTTTCTACTTTGGTTTTGCTCTGTTAATCTTCAGATTCATACTCTTATAGGCTCATACAGGAAATCTAATATTCACTGCAAATTATTTGGGTTCTTAGCCAACAACATAGCATCATCTGCATACAAAAGTTCACAGACATTCACTTCTCCAAATATGATTTCTGCATGTAATTCTGTGTTTAATAAAGAATGTGCAAAAATTATAAAATTCTTTGGTTTCATGAAGCAGTATTGCAAAATCCTGCAATACATCCCAAATTGCCATGCTTAAAATAGACCCAGTGAAATCAATAGAATAAAATAGTCATGACTGATTCAAGTTCAAGACCCAAATACCATAGTTAATTTCAGGGTAAACTAAGAGTAGAACAGAACATGTTACATGTGTCTTCAGTCCAACACATGTATTTACATCTACACTGATGGAGAATATCATTACTGACACATGTACTGTCATTTCATTTGAGAATGATTTTAATACATACTTGAAATATATGAAATCATCTTTTTTCTTCTATATATGTGAGATTTGTGAAATCTTTAGTCCTCCTATATTATGGCTCTCATTATTTAAACACTCTGTCTGTGACAAAAAGAAGTTGGGAGTTCAAACATTCCCAGATGGCCACAGTTCCTTCACCCCAATATAAGTAGACTTCAGTGCAAAACAGATATTCATAAGCTAAAAAGCCTCAAAAGTGACGAGTCAAATATGCATCTATTTGCAATTATGGAGGAAAAAAAATCTATTTTGGAATGTTAAAAATACAACTTATTCTGTATGTTTCCTGGCACCACAGAAAACATACCCCAAGAAGGTGTAAGCTGAAAATTCATCTTTAAAAACCTGTCAATTTATCAGAAGGAAAGAAATGAACTGCTTTATGGATTAGGAGATTTTTGCCCATTCCTTCTTCTGTGTTCATTTGGTGGATTGCTTTTAATCAAAAAGCTATCCTATAAAATTAAATTGTTTTAATTGTATTCTAATTTAGTTTAATTAATTTGTTTGCATTAACATAAACTAATATTGCTGGTAAAAAGAGATAGCTTTGATATTTAATTCAATTTGGAAGGGGTAAAAAATGATCTTCAAAAATATGAATGGTGAAATTCCATAAAAGATGATGTGGAATCCTCCAGTCAATAAAATTTTAATACTACCACATCTTCTAGGGTAAAATATAGGCTTGTTATATTTGGTATTAATGATAAAGCAGTCCTAGGAATCTTAAGAGTTGGGTCTCATAGATAAACTCTGCTTTAGCTGCATCCACTGAGCTTATTCAGGGAGGAGCACCAAGGTGCTGGGATGGGAGAGTATATCTAGGGAAATACCAATGGAGATGAATATATGACTTAAGGGTAGTAGATCCTGAAATGAATTGACCTGAAATAGTGGGAAAGAATAGACCGGGAACAGATATTGAAATCTGCCTGGTGATTCACCGCCCAAATAAGAAGAACACCCATGCTCCTAACATGTCCAAAGATAAGAATGTGGTGGTTCTAAAACCACACTGAGATACAGAAAATGTGTGACATAACCCAAGGAAAAGGGGAGATTTTAAAAATTCCACCCCTAAAAGAAAATAAAGGGAGAAGAAACAGGAGCCCTAAGATTTTCTGAACTCAAGAAAACACCTTCCAGATAGCTGCAACAAACAATTCTGGTAAAGATTTTTGGGTGGTAGAAGAAAGGCAGATCAAAAAGATTGCTGATATCAGAGACTACTTCTGAAAAAGGTGGAGAAGGGACCATGATAACCATGATAACAATGGGATGGATGAAGGTCAAAGAAGTGGCTTATCTCTCGGATCACACATGGAGAAGGCAGAGACAAACTCAGGATCTGTATATATCCTAAGGGGCAAATGTAGAACAACACCAAGTCATGGCTGGTGTGGGTCTTCCGGGCTGTGTGGCCGTGGTCTTGAAGTCTTGTTTCCTAACGGTTCGCCAGCACCCGTGACCCG